CCGTCCCAGCTGCCCTACGCCTCTGGAGGCTGCTTTGTGTTCAAGTGACGACTATTTCCTCTTCCCTCCCTCCCCCAGCGTGGGTCTAGTTATGGCTCCCTGATGACAGCCCATGGGAAATACCAGATCTTTGCCAACACCGGCGTCTTCAAGGTGAGTGTCCCGCCTGCCAGGCCCGGAGATCCTCAATAAGAACATCAGAGAGAAGCCAACGTTGGGTCAGGCCAGTGGCCCCTCCAGTCCAACACTCTGAGTCACACAGTGGCCAAAACCCAGGTGCCATCGGGGGGGGGGGGTGTCCAGCCGTGGGGCCAGGACACTGGAAGCCCCTCCCCACTGTTGCCCCCCGTCAGAGCACCAAGAAGATAGAGCATCCCTTGCCCCAAACCGAGAGTTCCTGTCTATACCTTGTGGCTCATAGCCACTGACGGACCTCTGCTCCATATAAGAACATAAGAGAAGCCACCATCGGGGGGGGGGGGTGTGCCATCCAGTGAGTCACACAGTGGCCAAAACCCAGGTGCCATCGGGGGGGGGGGGTGTCCAGCCGTGGGGCCAGGACACTGGAAGCCCCTCCCCACTGTTGCCCCCCGTCAGAGCACCAAGAAGATAGAGCATCCCTTGCCCCAAACCGAGAGTTCCTGTCTATACCTTGTGGCTCATAGCCACTGACGGACCTCTGCTCCATATAAGAATATAAGGGAAGCCAACATTGGGTCAGGCCAATGGCCCCTCCAGTCCAACACTCTCTGAGTCACACAGTGGCCAAAGATACTAGGGGCCATCAGGGGGGGGTCCAGCAGCGGGGCCAGGACACGGGAAGCCCTCCCACTGTTGCCCCCCCCCAGCACCAAGAACACAGAGCATCCCTTGTCCCAGACTGAGAGTTCCTGTCTATACCTTGTGGCTAAGAGCCACTGACGGACCTCTACTCCATATAAGAACATCAGAGAAGCCAACGTTGGGTCAGGCCAGTGGCCCATCCAGTCCAACACTCTGAGTCACACAGGGGCCAAAACCCAGGTGCCACTGGGAGGATCCAGCAGCAGGGCCAGGACACTAGAAGTCCTCCCACTGTTGCCTCCCCCCCAAGCACCAAGAAGACAGAGCATCCTTTGCCCCAGCCTGAGAGTTCCTATCTGTACCTTGTGCCTAATAGCCACTGATGGACCTCTGCTCCATATAAGAACATAAGAGAAGCCAACGTTGGATCAGGCCAATGGCCCATCCAGTCCAACACTCTGAGTCACACAGGGGCCAAAACCCAGGTGCCACTGGGAGGATCCAGCAGCAGGGCCAGGACACTAGAAGTCCTCCCACTGTTGCCTCCCCCCCAAGCACCAAGAAGACAGAGCATCCCTTGCCCCAGACTGAGAGTTCCTACCTGTACCTTGTGGCTAAGAGCCACGGATGGACCTCTGCTCCATATGCTTATCCAGTTCCCTCTTCAAGCTGTCCATGCTTGTAGCCGCCACTCTTTGGGTGAAGAAGGACTTCCTTTTATCCGTTCTAACCTGACCGCTCAGCCATTTCATGGAGTGCCCACGAGTAACCCTGCCCCTCCCTCGCAGGGAAACGTCGTGGCCATCAAACACGTCAACAAGAAGCGGATTGATCTGACGAGGCAGGTGCTCTTCGAACTCAAACACGTATGTACCGGGGGGGGG